TGTGCAGGCTGGGCGGCTCCAGCCCATGTAGAGCCAGTCCCCAGCTGTGCCGCTCTGGGCAGTGCTGGGAAGAGGCGTCGTAGGCGGGCGCAGGGGAGGGGTGGAGCAAGGGGCGAGGCGGAGCCCATGTCCCTTCCCCTGTCCCCAGTCGCCCCTGAGTGAAGGTGATTCAGTGCTGTGCCGGCAGCGATCCTTTCCCCTCCCCGGTCCTCCCGTTGTCATCCGGCTTGGAGCAGCCTCCCCCTCCCAGCCCCCGATCGAGACCCCTGTATTTGTACTCTCTGGAACCCACGTTCTCCAGGGGTTCGGAGGGTTCATTTTCCTCTCCTAAACTTCCTGCAGCAGGTGGCTAACTACCCCTGGGAGTGGCTGTTGCAAACCGAACTGGGCTTCGGTGGCCGCAGGGGCTCCGCAAGGGCGTGTGGACAAATGCATCCTCTTCCCAAAGCTGCGTCCACGTTCCGGCCGCCGGGAAGGCTGGGGCAGTGGCGCGGCAGCCCTGCTCCCTGGCGGGGGCTAGGGCTGCAACACAGCAGCCCCGGCCCGCCACGTGGCCAGGAAGGATCAGGCTGGGGTGGGTGGGGCTTGGCTCCAGGGGCGGGGCCAGAACTCGCCTTCTCCAGCTGGGCCTTCACCCGCGGCTCATGCCCTCTTCCTTTCCCCTTAGTGGCTCTCGGCATCGCGGCCATCAACCAGGCCATAAAGGAAGGGAAGCCGGCTCAGACGGTGCGCGTGCTGCGGAACCCGGACGTCTCTCTGTGCGGCGTGGTGGTGGAATGCGCCGGGACGTACCAGGCCCAGCTGGCTGCTCTCCAGGCTGCCAGGAGGCAAGCAGGTAAGAGGCCCCTAATGCCTCTGACCTTGAGAACCGTGGTGGCAGGGGAGAGCCTCCAGCTGGAAGCGTCATGGGGGAAGAACTCCCTGGTCCAGAGAGCAGTGGGTGCGTTCTGCGTCTGTACACCCAGAGCAAGAGCCTTCTCCTTTGCATCTGAGGCAGCTAATGCCCTTCCTATAGCAGCTGTCTGTCAGCCCCTCACCGCGTTAGACAGACGTGGCCTAGTTCTCCAGGAGCGGCTTGCTACCAGCATCCCTCCATCCTCCGCGTCTCTATCCCGGCCGTGTGACTGCGCCACCCTGTCTCTCCGCTGGCTCCCTCTGTGCCCCACACTCAGCTTGGCTGCCTACGGTGCCGTACAATGGTCTCTCCTCACGTCTGGAAACGCTACTTGATGTAGCCCTTCCGGCAGCCCCTGGGGGGTCCCAGTCGTGGATCTGGGGGGCTGGGGACAGGACTGTAGGAGCTGGCATAAATGGTTCATCAGCTGAGGGCTGGCTTCAAAGCTTTGGCGGAGGCCACTAAAATCCATTTTGCTGGCTGGTTTAATGCTGCGGATGCGTCTCTTCCTGCTGCGCGTGCACGCGCGTGCGTCTAGGGATGTATTCGAGCCTCCCTTCCCCTAACCCTGTCCCAACGGCCATGCGCAGGGAGCACCAAACACGGCTGGGTCCGACACCGCCTGGCAGACGGGAGCGAGTATTACTTCAGCCTGCAGAGCTTCGAAGGCAGCTGGGAGCGGCCCCGTGACTGTGTCCTTAACTCCACCCACCTCAGCCGGGAGGAAATCCAGGTGAGAGGGCAGCGGCTGTGCTGTATGCTGGCTGTGCCCAGGGTTCAGCCAGTTAGCCCACCGGGAGATGTCCCAGCACTTCAGATGTTAGTTAACGTTCATTCGTTTTCCAGTCCTCTCGTTCGACATGGAAGCTTGCAAGAGAGATCAGGTCCTACCACTGTAAGCCACCATCTCTGCTCTCAAACATCCGGTTCATGGGCGTTACCAGGCCAGATGAGACCCGGGCTCCATCTAGCTCAGTACCAGCCATGTCTGAGAGAGGTTCAATACTCCTATGGCTGGAGAATGTATAAAATAAAGTTGTTCAGCTTACAATTTAGAGGGGAGATTGGATGGCTTTCTCCTAAACTGGTAGCTGAAAACTTTTTGGTTTTGTTTGTTTGTTTGTTTGTTTGGTGTGCTTTTAGAAAGATTGTCTTTTTAAAGAAGTTTTAGCTCAGTACCAGCCATGTCTGAGAGAGGTTCAATACTCCTATGGCTGGAGAATGTATAAAATAAAGTTGTTCAGCTTACAATTTAGAGGGGAGATTGGATGGCTTTCTCCTAAACTGGTAGCTGAAAACTTTTTGGTTTTGTTTGTTTGTTTGTTTGTTTGGTGTGCTTTTAGAAAGATTGTCTTTTTAAAGAAGTTTTTTTTATATATATATATATATATATATATAATTTCCCTCTCCCTCAGAAACACACAGTTCCTGAAGTTTTGTAAATTTGATTTGATTAGATTTGTAAGATAGCTGTATCAACTGCTGCATTGAACTACTTTTCATTCTGCACTAAGGTCAGGCAGCTCAACGTTATTTATTTATTTTATTAACATGTATTAATTTAATTAACACCTTGATCTTCAATGGTCCCTGCCAGTCCTGTTTTTAAAATGGCAAAACCTGGTGTTAGTGTAAGCGTGGGAATCAACTACGAAGCAGTGCATTTCACACAAAACCAAACAAAGAACAAATGAGAAAAATGCATGACAGATCCATTCGGGATTTCATTGGACATTTTGAACTTCTTTAAGCTGCTCCATTGAATCCAGACCCTTTCAGAATACACATTGGCGACAACTACACTGCAAGTTAGTCCATACATTAAATGTGCTTTTGTGAGCATGCCTGCAGGAGCTGGCGGGGGTGGCTGCCGAGGGCGCAGGAGAGGCAAGTTGAAAATCCCATGACAGACAGGCAAGAACGGTGATGGCTTAACAGAAAGCTTGTCTAATAAATAGACTGGGCTTTTGGAAGCACTAGAAACCTGCATGCTTCAGGGCATGGGACAATCTCTCTCAGGGTCAGGAGGAAACCTCTCCCTGTTGTTGCAGGACAACCTGCTCTAAGGAGATGTTTCTTCCTGACCCTGATAGTGATTGTCCCATGCCCTGAAGCATGAGGATTGCTATTGCTTCCAAAAGCCCAGGTCTATTTTTATGCATTCTCCAGCTGCAGGAGCAGCATGTGTGCTTTTGGCTGTAACGCACTAGCAAAGTGTGGGCCTCCCTCTGTCTCTTGGCTGAACCAAGTGGGATGTTTGAGTGCATCATGGACTCCGAGACAATGGAGCTGGTCCTTCCACTCAAAACAGCAGCAGATTGTGCTCTTAGGTCCAGGCGACTTGGGCTCGGTTCCAGCTGGAGGTGTTCCCTTCTCACTGGTGGATGGTGTACGTGGGTCTGGGGTGCCTATGAAGTCTTCTTGAACTCATCTGAGTGTCCTGTCTTTACAGTCGGCGATCACAGGAGTGACTGCGGCCCATGGCCGGGAGCGTCTCTGGGAATCCAACACTGGGCTCGTTGTGAGGCTGCAGGCCCGCATGAGAGGCTACCTTGTCCGCCAGGAATTCGAGTCCCGCAGACATCTGTGGCGGGAGCAATTACCGGCTGCCATCAAAATCCAGGTGACGAGCATTAGAAGGCTTATCCTTTCACTCTCCCGCTACTTTCTTCACGTGAGAAAGATTAGGGGCTAGCAGTGCCCGAAGTCATGAGATGCCAACAGTCGGATGTGTGTTGGGGTTCGCTTCGATCCAGCAGGAGGCCAGTTTCCTTTCCTTTTTCCCTTGGTTTTCCCTACTCACTCCCTGTTTGTCCCTCGCATCTATAGTAATTGTTTCAGGTATCCCTTAACCCAGGGGTGGGCAATAATTTTTGACTGGGGGCCACTTCAGACACTTTTTTTTTTTAAAGTGACCTCAGGCTGCCCCTGAAGGGGTGGGGCCTCAGGTGGAAGGGGCGGGACCAGAACACTTCCATGCTTCGCCACCACAGACCCTGATTGGTCTGGGGATGGAGGAGCACACAAAGTCTTTGCGCCCCCCAGAGAGAACCGTCAGCTGTTCTGAACAGCTGTTTAGTACCCTCTAGGTACCTGTGCCCCTGGAAGTGGGAGGAGATTTTGCATGCTGCCCCCAGGTCAAGGAGGACTTTGTGGGCTGGATCCAGCCTGAGGAGGCCCTTTAGTCTACCCCTGCCTTAACGAATCCTTCTACAGAAATTTACCTAACCAATCCTAAGCTAATGTAATATGATTATCTAACCAAGTACGTCCCACCACCTGTATCAGTTTACACCCAGCAAAATGAATTCTACAGGAGATCAAAACCAGTGCTTTTTTTTTTTTTGTGACCGCATGCGCCGGACGGAAGCCCGCTTGGGACATCTGACAATTAAAAGGCTTTTTTTTTTCTTTTTCTGCCTGACACATTTTCCCTGGTTGTGTACTGTCACTTTAAAAAAAAAAAAAAAAAAAAAGCACTGACCGAAACAATCGACAAACCAGACAGATAATAGAAGGATGCGGAGTGAGTCCTTGCCAGGCAGAAAGTGATCAACCTAAGTTTCAATGATTGGCTTGGGATGTACCTTTCTTACTGGTACGGCTTTGCTATTGTATAGGCCTGTACACAAAGGGCGTTGTCTGACTGCAGAGCTGATGTGTACTGCATCCCTGTAGTGCTGGGCGTTCAGGATGTTGTACACCCCGTAGTACCCCTATTCACAGCTAGAACACATTGATTATTAATCCTGCCTATTACAGCAGAGCCTGCAGACCAGGCAAGAACAGGGAAGTGTGTGCTAGGTGCTGTACCTGTAGTCACCCATCCCTGCCTCAAACAGCTTGCCATCCAAGAAGAAACCCGCAGGGAAGGTGGAATGCACAAGCAGAACGAATAATGCAATGGTGGCCGTTGAAGGCCTGTGTCTTTTCTGGGAAGCAGGGTCAGCACTGGTTTCGTAGGCTCTATTGAGGACTAAATGAGGCAGGATGAGCTGTCCAGTAGGGGGCAGCTTGGGAGAGGTGAGAATTTCCTCCCTCCCATGCTGTGAGCTGGTGCCTGTACACAGGAAGTGTCATGCTGTAGTTGATTGTGTGTGGCTTTTTTCCCCCCCCTCTTTTGGTGTATCCAGTCATGCTGGAGAGGGTACAGACAGCGCAGAGTGTACCAGCAAAGACTGTGGTACTTGCAACAAAATACAGACGCGGTGATAAAGGTACTGGACCCTTGCCTGCTTCTCTAATCCCATCCCTCCACTAAGCCCTGCTCCTCTTTTTTTTTTTTTTTTTTTTTTCCTCGTAGCAATAACGTTCAAGTTGCAGATATTTCTCCCATCTCGCTCGGGGAATTGCTGCCCTCCCTGTAGAGATGCAGCCTGCTCTGGGGTGGAACGTAGCATCTGTGTCACAGCAACAATAGGACGGAAATGAATAATGTACAGGCCCTTGCCTCTCATTGCAGGAGGCAGAATGTACCTGGATGTTGACCCCAGTTGGGTGACATCCCAAACTCTGCTTGCAGAGAGTGCTCTCTGGGATTTTCATGATCACAAGTGGTTAAGAATCTTGGTCTTATCTGGAATCAGAAAAGACGCCCGTGGGAACCCTGAGCGTGGGGTAGATGGAATAAGTGAGCCTACGTGGAAATGGATCCAATAGGTGTCTGGAAACGTTGGCGGGTATTCTCCCAGTGCGTGGGTCAATTGGTCAAATCCATGTCTCTTCTTCTGGTCTCTCAGCTCCAGGCATACACAAGGATGTGGCAAGCTCGGAAGAGGTACCAGGAACGGCTGCGCTACTTCAGGAAGCATGTGAGTGGCTGACCCGTGTGCGCGAGTGACCCTATAACCCCAGAGGCTTTGAAACAAGCCTCTTGCAAATGGATGGAGGGTACGTCCTGGCTTGAAGTGGGGTGGGGGTGGTCCCCCAGCTTACAGCATGAGCCAGCGTGCTTAAGAATAGACCAGGGTTTCCAAACCTATGGATCGGGACCCAAATATGGGTCACTATTACATTTCAAAAGGGTCGCCAGGTGGCTCTGCCCCCCCCCCCCTTCCTACCTATTTTTTTTTAATTGCCTGGGTCACCAAGTCTTCCTGTATTGTCAAAATGGGTCCCCATCTGGAAAAGGTTGGGAACCGCTGGGCAGGCTAGTCCTCCCGGGGACACTAGGTATGTACTCAGCATGGCTAGCCCATGCTGTTGTGGCTATGTCCTGTTTCTTGCGAGCAAGTGTCATGAGAGTTAGCGTGAGGTGTTACATCCCCAGCTCAAAGTGTAAATCTATCTCAAAAGGCCTTATCCCTTCTTCCTCTTCCATGGTGGGGAGACACTCAAACCCTCTAGTATCTTGTGCTAAAATCAAAAGGAGCCCTCGTAAAGTGAAACAGCAAAATAACTCTGTACTGTGTTTACGGCTGTTAGAAATCGTTTTAGTAACCGTGTAGCCGCAGCAATTGTTATCGGTTACTCGTCTACTAAAATGTTCCCCTGGAAGCAGGGCCAGCAGCCAGTGTGCTCCCAGCCCCGCTCCCGGGGAGCCCCTGCCACCCTGCACTGCTGCCTGCTGATACAGAGGCAGCAGTGTGGGTTGGCAGGCGGGAGCCAGCCCGTGAGGGGGAGCAGGCTTAAAGAGCAGACTGATACAGAGGCAGCAGCACAGTGTGGCAGGTGGCTCCCGAGTGTGCTCTTCATTTAAAACACAGACTGGCGGGCTGGGACTGAGCCAGTCTGAGTTTTAAATGCAGAGAACACAGAGCCTGGGGGCGGGTAACCAATAAGCAATCGCTATCAGTTAAATGGTCATCTGACTAGTCACGAACATCCTTAGTTGTATCCCAGCATGGGACCTGGGTATGAAGGAAGAACCTTGCGTTCCTAGGTGAGGGACTAGAATCTGCCCCTGGGTTGCAAGGTTTCTATACAAGTATGCACCTGAAATGTACAAATCTGTAGGAAAGGGAGGTGGGGACATGTCCAAGTCCTAATTTTATCCATGTCTTGTGGTCTTTAAGGAGCTGGATTTTTCAGTCCAGACAGAGTGCTGTGTCTACACTGGGCCACTTATTCCAGAAAATCAGCCACTTTTCCGGAATAAGCTGTGAGCTGTCTACACTGGGCCCTTGAATTTCCGGAAAAGCACTGATGATCTAAGAAATCAGCTGCTTTTCCGGAAAAACTATGCTGCTCCTGCTTGGGCAAAAGTCCTTTTTCCGGAAAACTGTTCCGGAAAAGGGCCAGCGTAGACAGCACAGTAGTCTTTTCCACAAAAAAGCCCCAATCGTGAAAATGACGATCGGGACTTTTTTGCGGAAAAGCGCGTCTACATTGGCCACGGACGCTTTTCCAGGAAAAGGGCTTTTCCGGAAAAGCATCCTGCCAGTGTAGACACTCTTTTTCCGGAAATACTTATAATGGAAAACTACCGTTTTAATTGTTTCTGGAAATTCATGCCAGTGTAGACGTAGCCAGTGTGTTGCATTGGGGATTGTGTGGGAATTGCAAGCAGCATGTTTGCATTTGGTTGTGGGGTTTCTTTATTCCTAGCCCTGCTTGCCAGCTAGGGGGTTGTTGAGTGAGTGTTTGATCAGAGGAGCTTGCAAAGGTCCAGTTTAAAGCAAGGTGAAGTGAATGGAGCTTCTCCGCTTCAGTGAGCAGCCTGTGTTCTCGTTCTCTCTCTCTCTCTCTCTCTCTTTGGATTCTTGTGTGTTTATCGCTCTGAATTCTAAGAAACAAAGTGGTAATGTTGCATCCTTCTAGCAAGTTTAGGTTTTTAAATGTGTGCATGTGCTGTGAACGCTACAGCAAGCACCCTGGCTCTGTAAATCAGTCCCCTTTAAAATCTCTGAAGTGTCCCACACAAGGTCACCAATTCCTTTTTAAAGTTTGGGGGCCCAGGATAGGGAAGCTTGTTAGAATCATAGGACTGGAAGGGACCTCAAGAGGTCATCGAGTCCAGCCCCCCGCCCTCAAGGCAGGACCAAGCTCCATCTACACCATCCCTGACAGATGTCTATCTAACCTGTTCTTAAATATCTCCAGAGAGGGAGATTCCACCACCTCCCTTGGCAATTTATTCCAATATAAACACTGACCAGCTGAGCATCAAGTTCATTCAGCATGTTGCCAAATGGAGCTGTTCCTGAAGTAAGCCACTCCCAATAAGATCCAGGGTAAAAATCTTCAAAGACATCGAAGTGACGGTGGCTCCTAAGTCCTGTTGGCTTAGATGCTTTTGGAAGTTTTACCCGCTGCACTCTGCAAACCGATAAACCTTCACGCATGCCCTGTGACCTGAAAGAGAGTAAATCCATTTTACAGATAAGGGGAAACTGAGGCAGAAAAGGTCAATGGCTTGCCTGATGGCACACAGCCCCCCATCGAGGATTAAAACCCAACAACCCTGACTCCCTGTCCCATGCTCAGACCACTTCCTCAGGCCTCTGGCTAGGGGCTAGGAGTTGACTCTCTAGTAGGGTCCCTCTGCCTGATGTCTCAGCTAATCAGCTTGTTAGTTGCATGGCTGGTGCGTGTGTACTCTTCACACTTGCTGCCTGCCATAGGGATGCTTTAGGAACACTTCCCTCTTCTCTTTTGTTTGTCTTGGCAGATTAATGCTGTAATTAAAATCCAGGCTTTTGTGAGAGCTAACAAGGCCCGTGGGAATTACAGGATGTTGGGTAAGTGCTTCTCTGTGTGGTTGGTTATTTTTTCTCATACAGATGTGGCACTAATTAATTGCAAGGGTGTTGCCTCCTCGTTACCGTTAGTACGCTTGGGGCATGGACTTGAAGCTGCCTTTGCAGCCCCCTGGTGTAAGATAGAGCAGCCTCAGGGCTGCTCTACCAACTCAGGCTTTGCATCCTGGGAATAAGCAGTTAGCCAGCACGCCCTGGCTTCACCCCCTATTCACGCCCATGCCGGGAGCAAGTGCCCTTACTCTAGCTCCATGCCAGCCGGGGAGGCCCTGGTGCAGTGGTGATTCTTAGGGCCTGTTCCCTCTCGCTTTATGCTGGCCCTGAGCAGGACTGAGAAGCAAGCCCTCTAGTAGTTTTTTAACCTCCTTCAAGAGAGATTTCCCTTTGTTCCTCTGCCAGTCCACGCCAAGGACCCGCCACTGAGCATCGTCCGGCGCTTCGCCCACCTGCTGGAGCAGAGCCAGCACGACTTCTGGGAGGAGTCGGAGCTGCTGAAGCTGCGGGAGGAGGTGGTGAAGAGGATCCGCTCCAACCAGCAGCTGGAGAGCGACCTCAACCTTATGGACATCAAGATCGGGCTTCTGGTGAAGAACAGGATCACACTGCAGGTCAGGGGTCAGGACTGGGGGTGGGGGGGGGTGATAGGGGTTCGCTCAGCTGTCCCAGGGCTTCCCCTCCCCCCACTAATGTGGCTTTCCTGTTTGGGGACTAGGCTCTGTTCTGTTACACCAGCATGATTCTGGAGTTGTTCAACTAGAATGGACTGTCTGGGGTTCCTAAATCCCCTAGGCTCCTCTTAATGTGCCCATCTGTAGAGCCCTGCACAGATACAAAGCTGGTATCTGCAACCACGAAAATGATCCATGGATGCGGATACCCGTGGATATCCACAGAGTGTCAGGGTTCTCGAGGCAAAATGTGTTGCCACAAAAATGAGCCGTAGCTACCCACAACCACAACTGTGGCTACGAAGCAGAGATCTGTGGATTTGCAGGGCTCTACCCATCTGTGCCTCTAGAAAACCTCCTCCCGACAATTCGGGGGTCAAATCCAGCCCTGGTGTAGGCATGGAGCTGCACCCACTTACGCCAGAGCTGAGTTTAGCCCCTAGAGCCGTGGTGTCCAACCAGTTCCGAAGCAGTAGCCACTATAGCAGCCACCACTTCAGTGAACTAGCCACACTCAACCGGCCCAATAGCCACATGTGGCTAGGGGCTAGCGCGTGGGACACCACTGCCTTAGAATTTCTTAGTTCAGGGCAATATTCCCCCCTCTGATCTACCAAGGGCACCTAGCTCCCCAGCCATCACCTCTTGGGCAGAGCTCCCTGCCCTCCTAAAGCTGTTAAGAGTAGCTCAGCCAGCCGAACACTAAGCAGGTCTGTTCTGCTTTACCACAGAGGCTCTAAACAGCCTAGCTACCCAAATGTGTAAGTGACCCCCCCCCCTCCCCCCAGCCCTTCCTAAGCAAGGACGTTTGTTCTTCAGGTAGAAACGTGACTGAGAAAACAGATTAACAACAATGAAACCTACATGCATGCTAATAAGCTGCCCAGAGAGCTCCAGAAAGGGCTCTGGCTGGTGGCCAGTCCTCCTAACCCAGTGGTGGGCAACCTGTGGCCCACGGGCCCCGTGCGGTTCATTGGGGTTCTACATATGGCCCTCGGAAGCATTTATTTCCTGCCGCCTGTGCACAGAGGTGGCAGATACTGCTGGTTTCCATGTGCGTAGGGTTGTTGTGGTGGTGGTGTTTTTTTTTTTTTTTTTTTCCTCCCTACCCGTATTAAAGTGACAAGCACGTGAAGCCAGGGCAGGTGAAGGGAGGGGTGGGTGGATTGCATGCAACACTGAGTGAGTGCCGGGTACGCCCTCTGCAGCCAATCCCAGCGCGGCTATGGTTCCATCAGCACCACCCACACATTCTAGGTACCCAAACATAGTGAGCAAAACCGCCCTATCCCGGGAGACCGTCGTGGTTCCGACAGTCTTGCGGCCCCACTCACTCGCCTCGGTTGCCTGTTGCTGCTCTATCTCTGCCCAGGGGTTTTCTGGGGTCACAGGGTAATAACTGCTCTTAGAACCTGAGGGAGTTTGCTTTGTCGCCCACTCCTTGGAGCTACTGCAGACTAAATTTGTCCATGTTCTTGCCACAAATTTCAATCTTTCCCCTGATTTCACGGGGCTTTAGATCTGGCCCCTGATGAGCTGGGCCTGCCTTATAAGAGCTGCGTATTTTATTTTTATTTTGTGGCACTTTTTATCCATGCATCTGAAAGGGGTCGGCCTCGCCATCCTTATCTTTACCAGTGGGGAAACTGAGGCACGGGGTGGGGCAGCGACTTGCCCAGCAGACCAGAGCTGGGAATAGACCCAGATGTCCTGACTCCTGGTCCGGTGCTATGCACTAAGTCATGCTGCCCCGTATGTCCCTAAAGTGATATGTCCCGTATCTTCCCCCCCGCCCCCATCTGCCTGCGGAGCTAAATTGGCTCAGCCATGCACATGAAGCAGGTGGGGGGGGAGGGCAGGCGGGAGAGGTCTTGAGATATGAAATTCCCCTTGGTGTGTAAATGGCAAAGCAGTGTGAATCCCCAGGCCGAAAGGGGAGGGGCTTTCCCAGAGGATTTAGGAACACCATCTCCCCTCCAATGAGACATAGCTCCCAAGTCACTCAATCTCAGCTACTTCATTGGGGCCGGAGCGCTTAAATTACCTCAGCGCCCCAGCTGACTGCACCCCGGCCTGCCCCGCGACAGGAGGTGGTTTCCCACTGCAAGAAGCTGACGAAGAAGAACAAGGAGCAGTTGTCCAGCCTGATGGCCCTCGACACCCAGCAGGGGATCAGGTCGCTCAGCAAGGAGAAGCGCCAGCAGCTGGAGGCCTATCAACACCTCTTCTACCTGCTGCCTGTGAGCTGGCGGCTGGCTTTGAGGAGGCCGCTGGTTGCTGGGGGCA